GTTATTAAAAACACAATTTAAAAAATTTAATTCGTGATTGAGCACACGTGCATCTGAGAGATAACGATGTACCGCTCACAGGGCCTGGCCAGGCCTTAGTCCTCCAGCCTACTGACTCCTGGGCACTGTGTGCATGCCTGGTATGCATCAAGGTGACCTGGCCAGGGGCTAGAACCACAGTCACCATGTAGGATCTGGGTACTCTTCAGCAGCACATTCCCTCAGTGCCAGAGCCAGCCTGAGAACACAATTTGAAAGGAATTTTTTTGGAGAGGTTTTTGCTATAGGGCGCGTACGCTCGCCAGACAGACAGAGAGAGTCATAGAGACAGAAAGCGAGAAATCACCCCCCAGGGGGGATGGCCACGCCGCAATCCCTTCTCCTCCATTCTCCTCTCGGGATCTTGGGCACGCACGCACACGCGCCCGGCGTGAGTTTTGAGCCATCAGTTCTGGGACGCGAACCGTGGTTGACTACGTGGGAGTCCAGCAACATAGCCATTACGCTAACTGCTGGTTCCCAAAAGGAATTTTTAAAATATTTTTTAATTAATTATTTTATTTAACTTTATTTATTTTAATTTGACCAGAGAGGAACAGAGTGAGAGAGAGAGAAAGAGAAAGAGAGAGAGAGAAAGTGAGAAAGCAAGCCACCAGGTCCAGGACTAGAACCACGGTCAGCTATGTGGGAGTCCAGCGCCCTTAATCACCATGCCACCTGTCAGCTCTTTAAAAAGAATTTTTAAAGTAATCCATTGTAGGGCCAGATGGTGACACAGTGGTAGTGTAAATGGACCCACATAGGAAAGGCCTTGGGTTTGAGTCCCACAACCTCCGTAAGCATGCCAGGAACATGCACACGTGCCTGTGATCTGGGATAGCTGGGAATGGGGCTGGATCTCAGTGTGAGGACCTTATTGGTGGTTCTCTCTCTGTTCCTCTCTTTCTCTTTCTGTCTCTCATGGAAGAAATAAATGAACTTTAAGGTAGCTATTACATATCTAATATAAAAGAGAAAACTAAAGACTGAATTAAAATCTTCAAGGAAAATAAGCTTAAATACACTGTTTGTTTGTTTTTTGAGTGCAAACCAACTGAGAAACATGTAACTCTCTGTGACTTTTTCTCCACATACCAAGTGCAGCTTTCCAGCATGTCTTTATTATGCAGTCCTCTTCTATTTAGTTAAGCTCTTGTGTAGGTATCCAGTTGTAGTAGAAGGGTGTCATGGTTTCTAGGTTTTCAAGATATTCTTACGTAACTCTTCTCATTTTCGGTAACTTGTGTAACTTGTACCATGTAGCAGCACTCCCGGTTTTATCCTCATCTTGGGAAGTTGTTGAGAAGTTGATTGTGCTCCCTCTACTGGTTGCATTTCTTTGGAGCAGAAATCCTGTCCATTCGTGCTTGTGGTGGGGCTCATAACTGCGTTCATACTTTCTTTTTCCAAATTTCTGAGACTTTTAAAAAGTGAAACTAGCGGTTTTCCAAACCACAGGCTGAAAAGCTGGTAACTTAAAGGGGGTGAGGTGTCTTCCACTGCCCATGTATCCAGGGTGTGTAAAGGGACTCACACCTTGGCATTCTTCCTGCGCTGGAGGACACAGCTGTTCTTCAGTGCTTTGGTAGAAAGACATGCTCTTCTCTGAGGCCTAAGACACTACTTGCAGGGTCCTCTTGGGTTCTGATTTTTATGGGTTTTACTGTATCAAGTCAGCCCTTCTGTCCAAGTTGTTCGAATCTTTCAGCCACTTAATAAAACCAGCAGGTTTTATGCGTCACTTACGTGTTCACAGGTGCTCAGACTCTTGAAGCCAAAGGATTCCTTGGGTGGTCTCCAGAAGCAGCTATGGGAAGACTATGTTTTCAGGCCTAGGAAATGGGGAAGGAGGTGGGGACTGATTTAGTTAAATCCAACATGCATTTATGTATTTTCAAAGTTTATTTATTCATTTCTCCAGAGAGGGAGAGGTAGAGAGAGGAAGAGAGAGGCGTCTCCAACAGGATCTCCACACCATGATCCGCTCCCAACCTCAGTCCACCTGCACCAGGAACACACACGTGTGTGTGCCTGGCGTGTACAGAGAATACCTTAGCATGCGAATCTGGGATCTTCTTGTGTGGGTCCAGTTGTGTTACTAGTGTGCCACTGTTCAGTCCCACCGCCATGATGTGACTCCTTAGCACATATTAGACTTCAACGTGGTTCATGTTGAGCTGATCAACTGTCCTGTGTCTACCTTATTGAGATATATGGAGCAGTTGCAGGAAAGACTCCTTTTCAAACCTTCTTCTTTGACTAGAAAACCTATAGAAAAGGGATCGTTCCTTGTAAAACTACCACTTCGGCAGACCTCGAGAGCTTACATTCAGTTTTCAATAACATTGTTTGCAATAGGCTGTAATGAATGAAATGTTCTTGCTATTCTCAGTGGAGTCTTTACAGCATAGAACGGTGATTGTCAATGAAGAAATAACTGGGGCCAGCAGGTGGTGTGGTGGTTAAGGTGCTGGACTCCCACATGGTCGACTGTGGTTCAAGTCCTAGACCTGGGCAGCTTGCTTTCTCATTTTTTCTCTCTCTCTGGTCAAAATTAAGTAATAATAATAATTAATAATAAAATGATTCTTTAACAACAACAACAAAAAAATGGAGAAATGACTGACAGGCCACAATCAAGCTGCCTTTGTCTTTGTATTGTCACTATCTCCTGCCAGACACCCTGTTTTCTTCCACCAACTGTGGTAGCTTCTTTCTAAAGCTGATATCCTGACTTGTAATCATCTTTTTACCACCGCCTTCTTGATATTTTCATCCAAATTTAGCACCAGTGGTTAGATGGAGGGGTGCACAGATGCTAAGGCTCTCCCCAAATCATGGAATGCATTATTGCTCCCACTACTACATTCACTTTTTTCTGAGCCTGCACGGATGGTTCTCAGCCATCAGTGCTGCCCAGTAGAAAAGAAGGAAAAATGTTCTTCCATATTTTATAAGTCCTTGGAGAGTGTCTTCATAATGTTGATGATGGTATATGTAATAAATTAACTGAACGGCAGTTGGTAGTGAAACCTCTGTCTCTGGGTTTTTCGCCAGCAGCCTGCTGGCACTCGGTGCTGGTTAAGTCTTCTCTGGGGGATCAGGGACTGTGCTGTGCATTGCAGTGTGTTTAGCAGCCTCCCTGACTTCCACCCACTGGATGCCAGTAGCACCCCACAGCTGTGACATCCAGAAATGTCTTCAGATATTGCCAGCTGTTCCCTGGGGTAACATCACCCCTAGTCAAGACCATGCTCTATCTACGCTCCTGTCTCTCTTCATTCTGCTCCTTCCAAAGTGTTCCTTTGCTTCACTTGCTAAATCATGGCAGCTACTATGCAGCTTACCAAGAAGATAAAGATGAACCCGGCACCTCTTGCTTTATGTGTGTATGTAAATAAATATAGAATTGCCATGGTTTCCACCACATTAGTTCTTGTTATCACAAAAGTTCCCTTTTTTGAGTGCTGCTTCTAGCCCGTAACTGTGGCAAGCATCTGAGTCATTACGGTTTCTTTCATGAGTGTTGTATTTCTATTTTTGTGGCCTGCGTCTTTGAGGAAAGCCCCTTGCAGTCTTGGTCAGTATCCTTGGCTTTTGCCACCGCTATTAACCTTGTGGTGATAATGCTGATTTAATCTATCAATTTCACCCTTGAGTGCCTCGACGGGTTCAGATCCAGCTCTCACATGTCACTCCAGATTTGCTGGCTTTTAGACTGTGATTTCTTTCATTCTCTTTAACAGCCACCTGAGACGTTGTTTAACACGTGGTCATTTAAATTTTTATAAAGGGCCGTGGTCGGGGGGAGGTTTCCAAAAATCCATAGAAAATGCAAACTATGAAAATCTATGCATGGATTTCAGGGTTTTTTCCTGCACCAAAATAACCTCATACTTTCATTATATTTTTCCATAACTTTTAACGTCCTATTGTAATGAATGAGATTTCAGTTTGGAAACCAAGGTTGGGCCTGGCAGAGGATGCTCACGGGGAGCAGGTGGTGGCAAGCAGAAACACAAGTGGCCCCGCATGGGAGGGGCCCTGAATCTGGGTCCTAGGATCTCCCCGAACATCTGATGCATGCGTGTGTATGTGAGCTGGTGATCTCGGCTGGCTGAGAGCGGTGGGTGGTCTGGGGTGTGGGAACTTTGTTGAGGGTGTCCCTCTTTCTCTCTCTTTTAAATGAATAAAAAACTTTAAAAGATAAGATACTTATTGGATTGCTTTCTGGTGAACTTTAAGTTAGCAAGTTTCCTTTACTATTTTTAGAAAATGTGATATAAAATTGCTCATGGGAAGTCAGATTTAGAGCAGTTTTCTTTCTAGAGAGAAGGAAAATGATGGCTTTCAGGGAGGGATTTCCAGATAGCTTTAACTCTGGGTAATCTTAAATTTGTATGCTATATAAGGGGCACTTGGGTGGTCATTGTATTCTCAAATACGTATCTGTATACTTGAAGTTTATTGAAAAAACAAACAAACAAACAAAAAAAACAAAAAAAAGTCGGTTGAACGTTTGACTTTTGCTTTTTGTCTGCCACTTTTTTTCAATAGGCGTTTAGGAATCAGGTCTCTGCTAGATAAACTTACCTATATTCCTGCCCTTCTATGTAGTCCTTTCCAGCCTTTTAAACTCTGTTAAGAAGCCCTACTTTCTTGTCCTGTGATGCTGAAAAATATTTGACAGGACCTTATGCTTGTGCAGGGCGACCAGGTCCATCTGTGAAACGGTTAAGACCTGTTGAAAAGACACTTTTCCTAAGGATGCCTGAGCAAGCAAGGCGCTGCCACTCTGACAGACCGCCTGAGCCTTGGACTTTGTGCACGCCCAAGGGGAGAATTAAATTGGAGAAGGAGGCGGGGAGGAGGGAGGTGAGGGGGGAGGAGGAAAGGAGGAGCCACAAACCCTCTCCAACACACCCAAATGACCAGATTCATCATAGCAGAAACTTCGCAAGTTACGCCCACTCCCTCGCCTGCAGCCTGGGGAGGCTGCTGCTTCCTCCTTTCTGTTACTGGAAGTTTGAGCGCTGTGGATGAAGCCAGACAGGAGACCCATGTGCCTCGCCGAGCTGGGGTGAGCTTTAATTGGAAAACCGAACTTCTCCCGTCTGATCGCTTGGGTTGAGTGGTCAGGAGGAGCAGCGGAGTGTAGCTCAGGATTCTAGGGGTGAGAGCCCCCGTGCGGCCGGGGCGGGTTTGGTGGGGGAAAGGGGGAGGACCGTGCTCCCGGAGCCCCCTGCCCAGAATTAGCGAGCAGCGGCTTCTCCGAGCTGCGCCCTGAGGCTAGCGTGGCCGGCGGAGCTGCTGGGACACCGGTGGCGTTCGTTCTCGCTCCAGGGTAGGTAAAGGGGTTCTGGATTTGAAAGCCTTCATCCTTCTCTTGCCTTCTGTAACCGAGGGTCATCTGTGGGATACAGAGTCGGAAAGGAGGCTGCGGGATCCTGTCCCCAACTAGAGGCGCGCCCTGCCCTGCCGGGGGCTGACCCGCTGCGCGTTTGGGTAATTACAGGGCAGGGTCGCTGGAAATGAACCTCACGACAGGCTTGGGATTCGAGTGAGAAAAAGTTCCGAAGGAATAATCTGAAGCAGTGATGCCCAACAGGCACCTGGATGGGAGTTCTGGAGTGAGACATCGGAAGTCTCCAATTACTCATTAATTTTGGGTCGAATTTAGCTGGAGCGCAAGGCTTCCTGCTGTGGAGGTGTTTATTTATCTGGAACTTTTTCGATAATGTTAGGCTTTCTGTGGCAGCTGGTGTTTCTTCGGATTGATTGCCTAAGTCGCTTCGGATGGGGCGTGGAGAGGAAGTTTGGGTGGAGGGTGGCACCGAGTTGGATCATTGCAGGTGACACTTGGTATGTCTCAGCAAGTGAGAAGCTTGGCTAAAGTGGAGTTTCTCAGAAACATCTTCTAGGCTCTGTTTCTAGCCAGTGAGTTTTCATTCTGCAGTTATGGTTTTTGCTCACTGCATCGGGGTCAAATGAGATTTTTGGGGCTGTCACCTGTTTTGCTTATTTTATATCTGATCAATAGTTTAGTCATGCAGCAAAAGTTGAATCAGAGGTTTTTCTTAAAATTTTTAAAGTTTGTTATCTTCCATGAGAGAGTGAGGGAGAGAGAGGGGGGTGGGGGCTGGCACCTCCAACAGGGTCCTGACATAAGCAATCCAGCTCTAGCCAGTCCCCCATCTGTCCCCAGTCCCTGTCTGTCCCCAGAATTTTCCCATGTGGTTCATTCAGTCTGCTGCGTTTTTACTACTGCCACCAATAAGACCCCTCCTCCCTTCCTCCCTTCCCTCTCTCTCTTTATCCTTTCCTATAATTTTTAAGGCAAGAAATGAAGGAAGAAATGTGTAGCTCTAACTGTGTTTAGCAAACCAAATACTCATTTCAGACGTGTTTCTCCCCTCCTGGGGTGGCTGCAGTTAGGAGGAGGTCGGTAACTGCTTTCAGCCTTTCCTCCTATCAGCGTGGAACAGCCTGGCCTTCCTGGTGCATCTCCACTGGAACTCTGGGGGTCTGGGGTCAGGTTGTTGGGCCACAGTTTGTTTAGCTGGCTTTGACCCTTGGGTCCCTCGAAGTTATGAATACAGATGTAAAGGAAATACTTTGAAACCAACCCAGACGTGTCCCGCGGAAGAACAACAGGTTGTGGATCAGGGCTATTATCACATCGGCTAGAGCGCAAAACTTGTGGCCCCAGCACGGAGACACGCACTCCATACTGACAGGAGTTGTGTGTCCTACTGGGGGGGCTGGCCACACTGCAAGGAACCTACAGCAACTCACTCAACAGGAAAGACAGCCACATTGGGCCTTGTGATCGCGCTGGTGAAACTGACTAATAGATGGAGCTTTATGGAACAATAACCCTTAGCTAGAGAAAGGGGAATACATTATTCATAGAGCAGAGATTTTTAGATATCGCCACAGGGGCCTACTTGAAGACAGCATCCTGGAGACACCTGAAGTAGGGGTTAGTTTTATTTGACCCTATAGATGCGAGAGAAAGTTAGTTTCTCTATCATTACTTTTCATATGGTGTGCTCCTGTTCCCCAGCAAATAACCTGGTTTCACTCTGGCTGTTTGTTTTTAATTGTAGATTCAGTTTGTTTAATAAATAGAGGACCATTGAAATTGTTTTGTTTTAGAAACTGATTTTAAAGGGAATTTTCCCATTTCACGTAGATTTGAAAATTTAGAGGTATAAAGTTGTATACGATATTTTGCACTTTTTTTTTTTTTCAATATGAAGAGGTTTTTGCTGTAGGCTACATGCACTTGCTGGAAAGAGAGAGAGAGACAAAGAGCAAGAAATCACCTCCCCCCGGGGGCGGGGGTGCTGGCCACACTGCAGTCCTTCTCCTCCATTCTCCTCTTGGGATCTTGAGCACGCACACACATGTACCTTGTGTGAGTTTAAGCCACTGGGTCCGGGACTTGAACTGTGATTTATTACATGGGAGTCCAGCGATGTAACCATTATGCCCTCTGCTGGTCCCTTTTTTGCATTGTTTTTAAAGCTCTGTAAAAATGGTCCTTTATTTATTCCTTGCATTATTTGTGCCTTTTCTTGACCACACTTGCTAAATAAAGCATTATCAATTTTATTCATACTTTGGAAGAACTAACATTTGAGTTTTGTATTTTAACTGAAGCACAAATGCCAAATCCCTTCTTGAGTTTATATGCATTTAAAAAATTTCGACCCTGGGGAATTCTGTCAAAAAAGGTCTTAAATAGGCTTTGAAAATAGGTAACTGAGTCTCTTAACTGCAAGGAGGAAGATATTATGTGTTTATCTTTGAGTCTTTGACGTGGATTGTTTTTCAGTTTTCTTCTGTTCCCAAGCATCATACACGTTGTACCGAATGGTTCCAAGGTGGGTTTTGTGTATTCACTGGCGTACACCCTGTGAATTGTTGTGGAAACATCTGACTAAAATTTGCATGAGATTCACTGGTAATTTCATGTGAATTGTAGGTGCTTTCAACCCACTTGGCAGTACAGATTTACCTTGTGTGAGAGCAGAGCAAATTTGCTGTAATGATGTGGGAAGAATGTTTCATTTTGGCTCATATTTAATACATGAGTCAAGCATTTTTAAAGTTTTTTAGAACAACTTCTGAGATGTGGTAGTATAACATCAAGAACTCTGGAGTCAGGAAGACCTGGCTTTGCACTCCTGTTCTGCCACTTACAGCCGTGTGGTCTCAGGAGGGTTGCCCAACTTCTCTGAACTTCAATGTTCCCATCTGTGAGATGGAAATAGTGAAAACTGCTTCTGGGCTCTGCTGTACGTTTTCAGTGTGAATATTCATGTACGTTAGCTATCACGTGGTTTGACACAGAGTGAACATTTCATATGTTGTAGTTAGTACATGGAGTGTTTTCCATCTCCCACCCTCTCTTTAAAAGCTTCCGACCTCAGCACCGCTTTTCTAGACAGATGAGTTACACAAAACCATTTCCCCATTTGTTCTCTTCATTATGGGCAAGTGGAGTTACACGATCACTTTCTATATCTTTGGTATTTTCATCTTATTTTCCTAGTTGACTGAGGGTAAACTGGATGCATATTTCTCCTCTTACATTTTTATCCTACCATCTTAGATTTTTTTCTCCTCCAGTTTATATCATCTTGAGAATCTTTCTGCAGTGTTCTTAGTTTCTCCTCCCTTCCTCCCTTCATCCCTTCCTTCCTCTCTCCCTTCCTTCCTCCCTCCCTCCCTTTCTCCCTTCCTCCCTTCCTCCCTTTCTTCTTCCCTTCATCCCTCCCTCGCTCTCTTCTTCCCTCCCTCCCTTCATCCCTTCCTCCCTTTATCCTTCCTTCCCTCTCTTCCTCCCTTCTTCCTTTCCTCTCTTCCTCCCTCCCTTCCTCCCTTCCTTCCTTCCTTCCTTCCTTCCTTCCTTCCTTCTTCCCTTTGTTTTCCCTTTCTCTGACCCTCTCTTTCCTGCTTTATCCCTTCCATTCTTCCTCTGACCCTCCTTTAGAACAGAAATGAGCTGAGTACATACAAAGCCCCCAATGTGACGGACACTGCGATGTAAATGTGAGTTGCTTCTGTGAAGACAGGTTGCTGAATTTAGTTGCTCTAGAGTTTATCTCAGAGATGGGTGGTGCTTCTGTTACCGTATCAGTTTCGTATTGCTATTGCATTTTCTGAGAATCATTTTCCAAGCTTTATAGTTCCTAAAACTTTGGGGGAAGCATTGATTATTTAGTACTGTGGTTGATGTTACAACCAAGAATAAAATTTTAGAGCAGAGGAGGTGGACTGGGAAATGTTCTGTTACCAAAAAATATAGCATTAAGCTTAAGCCATTTGTTCTTCCTGGGGTTTGTCAGTGGAAGAGGGCTTGAGGCATATATGGGATCATTAGTTAATACTTAATGGATACATGTACTTACTACAAAGAACAGAAGTGGAGATGGAAAGGGATCGTGAGCTGGAAAAAGACATCCTTTGCTTTACAGTGCAATGCCAGCGTCATTCACTGCACGTCCAAGAAGTGAGGCTTGGTTACATTTGGTGTTGTGAATTGCTTTCAAGTGTGGAATTATTTTCAAAGAAGACAGATTGACAAGCTGTACTGGGTCTGGCCTGTCTGTTATGACCCTTGGTGGTGTTTTGTTCTAGCCGACCCTTTCATGAGAATGGGGACCAGGAGGTGTTGTTTATGTAAGTGTTTTGCAACACTGCTTCTCTAATTTATTTTGATGCTGTACCTCGAAAACAAGTACTAGCATAGCTTTTGTTGATAAAACCATTGGGGGAGAGATCACTTTCGGAATGTTTTATTTGTTTGATGGTTCATTGTGAATTTGTGAGATCTTGTAGTGGATTGTAGAGCCTCATTCAGAATGTTGGAATCATGTACTCCAGAGTTTGCATGAATTATTAGAATTTGGTGCACAACAATGGCCATTGCCAAGGTACTTTCTACAAAATCATCGTTGAAGAAGGGCTTCATCAATGCATGTTTGGTTATTAAAATACTAATTACATCTTAAAATGCTAATACTAGATACTAACGGATTGAATATCTACCACATATGAAGTATACTTCCTATGCTATCTCATAAGTGTTTCTGAGGATGATCTTGCAATTTTAGAGGCGTGTAAGAAACGAGCACAAAACTCATTGTTTTTCTATGTCTGCTCTCATTTATAGGTAGAACACCTGTGGACAGAGGCCCACCTTTCTGGACCCAAAAGCTAGGAGGAGGAGGAGGGTTGGTACTACGGGGTATGATGCTCTGGATCCCCATTTTTCACCTACGATGTGATAGCTCTTGTGGATGGCATATTTGAAGATCTTGACACAGCTTCTTCTTTCTGAGATGGGGTAAGTGTGGCATTTGCAGATAGTTGAGACACGAAGATTTAAGTGTTTTTTACTTGATTTAATTGTCAGAGGAAGTGTGCACTTGCCTGAGAGACTGAGCTAGAGGGAGAAAGCACCCTCCCTCCAATGAAGCGTAGTCAATGCTACAATTTCTTTTCTTCCATTTGGGATTTGGGGCATGTATGCAAATGTGCTTGGTATATTTTTCAAGCTGCCGGGAATGGGATTTGAACTATGGTCAGCTTTGTGGAATCTGACTCCTTTAACCATTAGGCTACGGGGCTGGCCAAATGACTTAAACTTCTAAAGTCCTCTAGGATCATGCCCTAACTTACTCATTTGGGACAATCGTTCATTATTTGTGACTGTTGTTTTGGTAGGAAGAAAGTTGCTAATTCTTCCCACTTAAAATCCAAGGCTTTGACCTTGGTTTCTGATGCTTAGGGTTCCATTCTTGCTAGATCATTTCCACGATTCTGTTGTTTGGAGGGCTTCTCAGGGCAGTCTTCCTACCTTTGTCTTTCTACCTTCTCTTTTGCCCAACCCCTGTGATATTAGGAAAGGGGAAGAAGGATTTGATTTAGACTGCAGCAGGGGAAAACTTGGTATCAGAATGTGCTTAATTTGGAGAAGCTGTTGGACATGGGATTATGTTCCTGTTAGTGAGTCCACTGTGAAGTGGGTTTGGGGAAAGCGGACTGTTTCATGTAGTCTTACTTCTGCTGTGAAACTGGACATTTTCCTTGCATGATTGGCATGGGGGCTTTCCACAGAAAGGATGGAGTGGTAAATGTGGAAGAGCCATGGCTGTCTGGAAGAAATGTGCTGCAAAGGCCCCCTCCCTGCCTCCTGGGAAGCCCAGCAGAAAGGGCCAGGCTGTACACATCGGTTTCTCTTCTGTCAATTGGGGACAGTGACATTTGCCCTCCAGCCCCTATTTACCTTTTAGAGGAAAATGATTTAGGCCCAAACGGCTTTCTAGTTTCATGAAGGTGCTATTGTTCTTTTGAGAGTTCCCACTCTCCCATAAACACACCCACCCAAACCTTGTTAGTAGGCGACCTAGTGATGCATTGTTTACCATTTACCAGATTTTGATAATTTGCTGGTTGTTTTTGAATTTGAACAAAAAAGGAGATTCCTGACTCCTTGGAGAGCCAGAAGAGCAGATGCTCCCTAAGGCTGGATCCCTGCAACCAGCTTTCCCACCCTGCGTCTGGGCTCTGCTTTGCAGATCTTGCTGCAACTTGTTCCTCTAGTCTTACCTGTCTTGAGCCAGCCCAGGCCACTCCTCTCTGAGTGTACCCACAGCTGGTGGAAACCTTGCAGTGCTTGTATCATATTGAATTATCCTAACTCGGTGGCGTGCCTTTTTCAAGGGGTGAAAAAAATAATAAAAAGTCCTGATAATGCCACCGTCATAAAAGCAGCAGTTAACCCTTTGTTGCTGTGCTGTTCTGTCCTTACCTCTTTGGAGTCCTTGTACTTTCCTTGCAAATTTACTTCCCCACCCTGCCCCAGGGGCTTTCACACCTGCCTCTCTTTGTTGGAGATCTGGCTTTAGGATTGTGGATTCCCCTGTGACCAAGTACCTAGGTATTCTCAAGTACCAGGGCAGTCATTTGTAAGGGTTAACCATAATGTGGGGTACACATATACCAGGACAACTCTGAGGCTTCATCTGTCCTGTCTTTAGAGAGCTCCTGTGGCTTCCTCCCCACCAGGGTCCCACTCAACCTACTTTCAAACTGGTTTTCTCTGGAAATGCTTCCTATTAAGTAACTTAAACCTGACTTCTCATCTCCAAGTTAGGTAACTTGTCCTTTTCAATAGAGTTGGAAAGTGGAGGAGTAAGGATTTGAACCCAGGTATCTGGCTCCAGGGTCTATTCTAACTGGTTCGCTATTGGCTGTCCTGCAAAGCCAGGACAGTATACATGCTTCTATGTATTCTTCTTTTAATACTGGCCACAGCATAGATTGTAGGACGTGCTGCTCAGCCTGGCAGGGTTGGCCTTCTTGAGTCCTCTCTCAGGCATCTGTCCTTGCTGAGTTGCCCTCAGAAATGGCCTTCTGCTGGCTCTCTGCTGATTCAGATTTTACCTGTCCTTCAGCGTCAGCTCAGGTTTACTCCTCCTTGTTGCTTCTCTAGTTCATTCCAACCTGCTGTCATTTGTGCCTCTTAGAACCAGTGTTATTTGTCAGATGTTGGCTTTTATGCTTTCTCTCCCCCCATAGGATTGAACCTCCTTGACAGGTGCGATTGTGCCCAGTACCACATAGCAAGTGTTCAGGGCTTCTTCAGGGCTTAATTAAAACCAGGTCAGAGCTGTGCCAAGGAAATGCCAAGGTTGTTTCTGGATTTGTCGAATGAGGAGGAATAATGAGGTTAAAGAGAAAAAAAGGGAGAGGGCAGTCTAAAAATTGCTAGTCCATTTTCATGGGTATTTTCAACACTGCAGCTGTTCGAGTTGAATCATAGAATGGATGGATCATCTCTTGGCTTCAAGCACAGTGGCTAGCCCATCTTTCCCCCTGAGGGAATTTAAGCAAATTTCTGTGATGAATAATGTGGATTCTTTTCCAATACTTGGGATATAGTTTAACAAATTTCATGCAAATTGCAGGTGAAACATGATCAAGCACCCCCCACCACCACCACCACCCCCACACACATACACACTCCTGCACACACACTCCTGTTGCAAGAGGACAGACAAGAGTTAGCCTTTAGGGGTGTGTGGAGTCTCAGCTGATGCTTGGCCAGACCATCCATAGTCATCTCTTTCTCCACTTAGACATATATTGCCTCCTCGGTGCGTCTCCCTTGTAGGGTGCTGGAAAAGGGTGAGCTCGAAGTGAAGGTACAAAGGAAAGGAGGCTGCACACACCGAGCACCTGCTGTGTACTCTGACAGTGCACGATGGCCCCTCACAGCCCTTTCACATGCGAGTTCTCGTCTGGTCGTGGATCCGAACCATGTTTTATCTGACTTCTAAACCCATGACTGTTCTTTCACACCCTGATCTTCAGTTCTATTGGGTTGTCCGTAAAGTCATGACACATTTTTGCATAGAAAAATGCATTATGACTTTTCAGACGATTCGTCTATATTAACAGAGGTGTTCAGATGCGCGTGTCTAATGGTCACATTGATTTGAGAATTCTCAGACTCTAGAGATCATTTCTGACCTATACCTTTTCTACTATGTTAGCCATTCCCTCCTAGCACTCCACTGCACACAAACTTGGTGGTCATTATTGCCCGAAATACCATGTTTAGGTGTGACTTAATTTGGGGGGGAGTAATATTTAAAAAATTGGAAGATTAGGGATCTCATCCCATTTTTAGGTGCTTATTTGCAGGTCAAATACATCAACCTTTGAACACTCTTGGGAAAGTTCCTTCTTTAAGCAGGACTCTCCCTGGCTTTTACATGGAGGCCTTTAACTCTCTTGCACCGTGGCAATAATGGCCTGGGATGTTGGTGCCTTGGGGCTAATGCAGGAGGACATCCCGGAGCCTTTCCCTGACCTGTCCCTCTTCTGCCCATGTTGCATAAACACTGGTGTGGCAGGGACAGATGGCCACTCGGGGCTCCTTTGATGTCACATTTGGTTGCCTAGGTGGGGGGTGGAGTGGTTGCAGCCAGACTCCATGGGAGGAGGAGAGGCTGACTGGGAAATACCCTCTTGACAGTGAGTAAACAAAAGCTTCACTCCAGAGGAGCTGGGCACCCCTGGTACACATGCAGGCTGGGCAGTAATGGAGTCAGATTTACATAAGTATGTTTAGCTTGGGAAGAAGCCAGTCTGCTCAAAGCATGGCTTTTTCCCTCTGCTCCTAATTGATGTTCAGCAGAGTTTGGTTTTCTTATGGGAATGGGAACGAACTGTGTGGGGAGTAGTGAAGGCAGTGATGGCTTAAGATAATTACTTTCAGAGCTAGAAAAAATGTCATTTGAGGCCTAGGTTAGCTTTGCTCAAGGGAGGGCACCTGAAATCCCCAGAAAATCAAGATGGAGCCGTGGATGCCCTTACTGCTGGACTCTGCTGGTCAAACAGCACTAACCTGTGTAATGAGAACTGAAGACTCTGATGGGAAGTAGGAAGTAAGATACGAAGAACAGCACCCAGACACGGAAGGTGCAAGGCTGTAGAATCCCTCCTGGAAGAAAAGGCAGGAATGGACAACATGTGAAAATCAGATGGTGTCCTGTGGTTTTAGTATTAAAAGGGAAGGCTGGAGGCAATTGCCATCGCCTATATGCAAACCAAGCATGGAATTCAACATGAGTAGAAAAGCCAAAAGGGTTGATTCAATTTTAGCGTCCGGATAATAACTATTGCTATTTATTTTTCCAATGCATTTATAGAAGTCCCAGCAAACCAAATTAAGGTAATGTATTCAAGTTAACAGAGTGACTTCTAGTTGCTGTGCTTCATATTAACTTTGTGAGGGGCGAGATATGTCGGTTAGTTCATTCATTCGTCCATTCGTTCTTTGGGTAGCTGTGGGTATTGTTTGTGAAGGTATCCTTGGAAGATTCAGTGAGGTGTGACACACAACTCTTCCTCTAGGAGCTTACAATGTAGAAGGAAGAAAAGAATTGACCATGGAGAATTAATGGGGACCAAATGAATGGTATAAACAAGATGTTGGATGAATTTGAAGGGTCAGGACATTATCATTAAGCCGTGAGGATTTAGCAAGGGAAAATTATTAATGATAATATTATTACTATTTATTTATTTGTGTTAGAGAGAGACAGAGACAGAGAGAGAGGGAGAGGGTGAAAAGCATCCCCCCCCAGTGGAATGTGGTCATGCTGCAACCCCCTTTCCAATTCTCCATTCCATCGGGAGTTTGGGCACACACATATGTGTCTGACACATTTTTTTAAGCTGCCAGGTGAACTGTGTCAGCCATGTGGGAACCAGCACCCTTAACCACTTTGCTATGGGGCTGGCCCAGTATTATTACTAATTGCTATTACGTAT